ATCTCATGGCATACCACTGTCACATCAGTGGCTCTCGGACATAAGCCTACCCAGCCTTGAGCCCATCGTCAACGTCATTGTGACCCATTGGAAAATGACATTGGGAGCCCTAAGTGCGACACTGGGCCTAGGACTTCTAACCTACCTAGCAGGCCCTTTAATTTGCCTGAGCATCGCGAAAGTAGTATGCACGATAGTGGCTTCAATACCGAAGACAATTTGGAAGGCACTACACTACCTATTTAGTATGAGCAAGGCCACGATCTCTACACAGGGACAAACCGCTCAAGTGTAACCCCCCCCTCTATCGAGTCCACAAAAAAAGAGTCCACATCAACAACAAAAAAAAGTGCACCGAAGAGGTACGAAGCTCTTCCCGGTGTCTCACCGATAAAACAGCATCACACAGAAAAAAAAAGTTGACTCACCCTTTCCTACTAGTCTTCTTCGCCTTTCTTCATCTACTTCTTCACCGCCTTCAACAGCTTCGCCCACATGGACTTCAACGACGCCTTCACCTCCAACAACCAGCCGCCGCCTCGCCTCTACACCTCAACGCCAACAACCACACCGCTCATCATCACTTGTCGCCAACAACTATTCCTACCGCGCCCAACAACGACGAATCCGAAATGTGATATCTATTATTGTGTTGCTGGGAATTGTTGTATTTACATATTTCTTAATTCTGCCGCCCCGCCGGAGTATCATCGTCTGCGCATCGCAGACGCTGATCCCTCACGACCTCAAGTCTGGCGGGGGCGGGCCAACATTGTACAAACAAGGAGTGATACTATATCCACACTTCTCTCTTTACGTTCACGGAATAAACCCGTTAGTAACTCTCTCTGCTCTCACACTCTATTCAATATCATAAAACCACTGAACCACCGCGAGGTGCTTTATAAAGGGTTCAATAAAACCCAAGTCTCAGCGCCCACTACACAGAGGGACATATGTACATCACATCCTTCACGGAAAAGTTATGATTCTATTCCAACCGTAAATCACTGGTCTGAGACTCATATCCACGATAGGAATGAAAAGACCAGAAATATTGATTTTGCTTTGGTTAAAAATTCGAAAAATCGAAAGAGCTGTTACGCGTTCAAAGTGCTCACGGACGTCTTTCCCAAACGCTGGTAACGGGTATGCTTCCACTTGGTTCTTGGAGTGCCTTCACTAGAAACTCGTTCTGGCCTTCTGCCTTATTGCATTCACATCTTACACTTTACTGCATCCTACTCTCGATTCCTCCGAAATCGCGCGCTCTAACACGATTCTTTCATTGCGTCGCCTGATACTTAGCCGGCCAAAGCCAACTTCTTTCTATGCCCCGCCTTTGGCTCGCCCAATTTACCTTCGATGTCCATAGAGTGTAGTTTTTATACTTTAGTTTCTATTCGGAAACCGAATCCTATGCGTGTAACTTCATGTGCTGTTTCCACTGATCACACCTGACACATTTATGTCAGGAAAGAATGCAAGAGTTTTCCGCGAAGGATTCCTTTAAGTAAAGATTCATCTTCTGCCGCATTCTTCACTGTCACAACCATGGGTCTTTCCAATGCTTCTGTTGGATACCTCAATTATCCCACACAGGTGTGTATACAATAATTCACACAGCTTACACTCATTTTGGCGTCGCATATTCGCGCTTTTCTTTTTACTAAAGTGTCAAAATAGCGAGGTAGCACTACATGTCCTCAATCGTTTGGACATGGCAGTTCATTTATTTACCGTGAATTCACACCTGAAGTGTTGATTCTCTAGACCTTGGAGCTTTGTTTCAGCTTACTTTTTGCCATTCCGCTCCTTTGAAAATTTATTTACCGACAACAAATATAGGTCATTTTCTAGTGCCATTGTTAACGCCCACGATCTATTGCGGTTGTCGAGGGCCTGAGAAGGGGCTTAAGGGCACCAGAAAAGTTGGTTCACGAAGTTTGGAAAAGTTTTCTTCGATCAAATTTGTAGGGGTTTACCATTTGTACAGAGTTCATTTCATGAGAACTTCTCGAAAAGAAATTAGGGGAATTGAATAGTAATTGATTACAGGTAATTTTCAAATGCTGTAAACTTTGTACCGAATTCTGAATGGTGGAATAATTATTCAAGGAAAACGATGTGGATGGATAGATTTATCTTGCGGCTGTGCTTATGAGCATAGGTGGGTCTGCGTATTAAGCTAAGGTTTACTCTTCATCGATCTTTTCAGAAATAGTATCAAATTTTAGGACTCATTATGTTCACTTTGGCTGACAGCAGTGTATCTCTGAACTTCGATCCTAGAGGGTATATTATGATCTCCGGCGCCCTTTTGGCGGATGCCGTAATAGGTAACATTCAAGAGAAAAATATGAAGAAATATGGTGGATCGAGCAATGAAATGGTGAGGCTCATTTCTACATCGTACCATTTTCAGGAATCAAAAATTCCTTTCACTTAAGGTTCTGTATTTTTACTCCATAGAATCCGTATACTTGCTAGTGTATACGATCGTTTCTGGCGAATTTTTCACCGCATTCAAGTTTTTCCTGGAGGTAATCTGTCTTCAAATAATAAATTAACCTTTCTGGAGCTGTAGAGCCAATCTCATGCTAGCAGAACCATACAAAACTTACGGATACGCTTTAATTTTCGCTAGTTTCGGATATCTTGGCGTAAATGTTGTGCTCACTCTAATCAAGGTATGCGCTTCATCGCTACGTTTGTAAATTTCTATTTGAATTGAATCTAGGTGTGTGGAGCACTTGTTGCGGTTACGGTCACGACACTGCGTAAAGCTCTCACTATTACACTTTCCTTCATTCTATTCTCAAAACCTTTCACAGTGGAGTACGTCTGGGCAGGCCTAGGCATACTCTTGGCTATGTACCTTAATTTGTACAGGTACTGTTTCCAAAACTATAACGAAATACAGGTTATACAACGATTACCAACGCAAATCAGGCATTTGTCTTGTCTATAAGAACATTGTTCTGTTAGCTACAAAAATTAGCAACAATTTCTGACTTACTATCCTGAAGAGTAGTTCAAGGATTGCTTTCGACTTACAGCCTCCGTCCTTCCTACTTTTACCCCAATCATCTATAAGTATATCTAGGAAAAAAATTCAAATCTCAAGACAAGAGTTGGAAAGTTTTGACTACTCATTGAAAAGTAAAAGCACGGAACGTGAGGAATGAAGGCAACCCACCGACGGGAGGTAGTGCATACTGCAGTTGCTGTAATTTTGACAGCACTGGTTCAAAATCCATTGCTGTCAGTAATGAGGAAATGTACTGTATACATAATGTTCTGCACATTGAAACATTTAGTATACGACATCCAATTTACTGCTTGTAAACAATCAATTCAGTGAAATCGTCTTAATGCAAGGAAGACTTCCAGACTCACGATCCGCTTGCTGCGCAAACTACCTCCCATTTACCACTCCATTCTCGCGATAAGAGCAGAACTCCCTCGAATGTTAAAATCACTACTTCAAACCTACCAAGGGTAAAAGTGATGCAGTGGGAAGTGGCGCTGTTCTTCACGCGCGCAGTCCTGGGAAATTCTGAGTTGTGCATCGTCTGGACATACGAAGGATAAACTGGGTTGTACATCGGCAGGGCCTCACAAGTCATTGGGTGGTCAATCGCGTTCGAATTCTTACTACGATCTGAGTGGAAGTAGAAGGCGTGGCGTATCCCAATACGTGATTGACGAACATTGAGAGGATAATCCTTTATCTGATGGATTATTAGGATTTGAGGTGCTAGAGCTTTTGGTATGACGTAATTATCCGCAGTTGAGTAAGCCGAAAAGAATGAACTGGAATATGGAACACAAAGGCAGTAGGTGTTTTACCATTGAGCTGATCCGTTTGGAAACATTCAGTCTATTGAGCACACGGGTGTTACAAACAGTAAGGTAGTACTTCTTTTAGTTTTACTTCCTTTCATTGCAACAGAAAACTTTGTACTGACTATCACTTCAAGAAAGATTTATTGAGTACTACCTCGACCACAACGCATTTCTCATTTAAATATTGACATTACAGTAAAAATAAGCAAAAATGAGATGCTGAAGCGGAACGATTCGTGATGCGATTCCTCCCGTCCGCAAGAGTAACTGTTTTTGCGAAAGTGGTCCGTTTATGGTTTGACCTCGATCTATTTCCGCGCTGATTTCTGCAATCGAGCCACGGCAGAAATTCTATAATGTTCTCGTTTTGTAGTTTTGCTTTATGGGCTTTAATTATGTGATTTAGCATTTATTAATCTGTATCATAAATACGAAAGGGAGCGGGTCAAGAATGATGTATTGCTTCATTACCTGTGTCTCTAAAATACTAATATTGAAGTTCAAGAGAACGTATTATTTATTTCATCTGCCATTCGTTAAATGTGTCCCAATAAAGCTTTTTCAGTCATCAAGATAAATAAAAGATGAGAGTTCGTATGCTTTCCCGCTAACGTAAGTGAGGCGGTAAAATACCACCGAAATATGGAAGGGCGCCAAATTAAAAAGTAATGGGCGCTCAATTATAGAAATAATGTTGTTATGCGCTTCTCAAAAACAATGAAAAACAGGAACAGAATCGAAGCCGAGGAAGCTACTTTGCTTACTCTTACATTAGTTGCTTGCACGAAGGGAACAGATGTGCATCATTGACCCTTGAATGATTTAAACAAGGAGGTAGAGAAAACGAAGGAATATTTTACATATACGACTGGATTGGAGTTCGAAGGAAAATATAAGATGTTTAATTACACAATCTTTTACTCCACCACATTCTTGATACCAGCAGTAGAACTATTCGGTAAATATGACAGGAGAGAAGTGCGAAAATTTCGAAACAGGTGGAGTGAGTTGAATACCTTGGCGAAATATAAACATAAAGTTGACTAGGGCCATGGATCAGTGAAAATAAAAAGAATTCTCCCTCATTAGCATGCGTAGTTATGAGGAGCTGAAATGTTATCGTTTCAACGTCTTTTTCGTTCTTGATGTGATCATGGAGGAGACGACGGCCTCGGTGTGCGCGGCATTTCTATGCTGGACGAGGCGTCCAGTGGAGTCTCGCATGGATGCACTACGATTGCTGGTGTGCTTTCATCGCCGTTGTGTACTTCGTACCTGAACCCGACAGAATTACAATGGCATCTTTCAAGTAGCAGATTATCTGCCTTTAAGACCTGAATGCTGAAAATAATGTAATGGACATTCATTAAAGGTGGATTCGGACGGTAAGGGAATGTCTAGCTAAGCGATAGCTGATAGGAGGCCTCAAAAGCTTCAGGTTCTCGAACACACCCACTGGCACCATGTGGAAAGGGTGACAAAGGCAAAAAATGCATTGAATTAAAACTTTGCGCCTTTGACCTTACTTTTGTACTCTACACCTGCCCGACCATTAAAACAGTAACTGCCCATAAATCGACGTTTCTATAATGCCAGTGTTTGACTTCACCGGAACAATCTTCAAGTTAGCGTTAAATTGGTCTACTCCCAATACCTAATGGCGGAATGAGGATACCGTTCCTCCAATTTCTGTAATTTGGCACCTATGCTTGCACAATTTCTCAGTATCAGTTTATCGAGTAAGCTGCCTTCAAGTGAAGCATGTGGTGGAAATCATTCCAACAAGAGATTGAGATCGAAATTTCAAAATCAGAGTCAAAACTGGTGTTTCATACATCTACGCAGTACATGAGAAACAGCTCTCAGAAATGATTTTAGGTGTCATCGGCTGTTATGAAGCACATGCTCAAGAAGGGTCTTTCGAAATACTCATCCCAAGCTTGAAAAAAAGGGTACCGATTCCAAACAAAGATATCACTGACTAAAGATGACAAAAAACCCCACTCTATTTACAGGGGATATACATGCCCTGAACTTCTTCAAGAAAAGAAGGTTGAGAATACTAGAAGTGAAAAGTTGGAATAAAATTATTTCTTCGTGCACGATAACGTATATTTCTGCAACCCATTTCTCACGGTACATACGGGGCAAGTTGAATCAAATTAATGTTAGTAAAAGAAAATCTCGGTATGTAAGAATAAAGACAAGATTTGCGCTTACTTGTCCTCCAGAGCAAACGATGCCAGCCGTGCCATCAAATCGAAATTACAAATAACCGGTGCCATTTCCTATGAATCAAAAATAAGCAAGACTCTAAAATTAACAAACGGATCATGAAAAGAAAAAACGAAAACGAACCCTTGTTTGGGACCAACCCATTGGTGGAGAGACTATGGTGAGATAAGAAATTGTTTCTCAATAGGGGGCGGTGACAGTAACTGTGAGGATCGTCGAAGAATGACTCGCCGAAAATAAGCCGTTGATTGGAGTGAAAATGCCGTCATTGGAAAACCTCTTCCTTTACGAGCATTTCAAAACTTCATTCCTCGGTCAACAAAGGCATATACGAAGGCTTTATTTGAAAGAGATCAGAAAATAAGAGTTCCTAGAAAGCAGACAGCATAGTCAACAAACTGCTCGGCAGCGAATACTGCATGGAGTGCCCGTTTTCATGAACTATCATGTCAGCAACGACGAAAAAGAGGTCGAAAGTTGTCTTATCAATTTACTCCAGCAAACCTAAGCCGGCATGAAAAATAAACAAAGTGAAAATATTGCAAAAAAAATCGAAGTACCTGCGCAAATGCCTTCATTTCATGTCCATGGAAAGAGAAGCCCTGTACGATAAGTTTCGCAGCTGTCGCACTTTCGGGAGCTAAATGGAACGACACAAACAATTTGAGATATGTAACAACAGACTTGCCTAAAAATAACTCGAACGCGTCAGAAGCTTATCAAGAAATCGGAATGAATGTTCTCCTTGATCTGCGTGAACAAGTGACAAAAGTTCTCTTTGTGCTCGGGATTTGTGAATACCTAAACTAGAAGGAAAGTATTTGAAGACCAAGTAAGTGGACTCCTATGTAGTGGCCAACCTGAAAGTTTGTTAAATTGAACGAATTTCAGACCGCTTTAGTTGAATCATAGCTAATTCAAAAACTTAACAGGCTGCTTAACCTTTTCTGGATCGTGCGATGAATTTGCACCGGGTTACATTGGAAAATTGCATTCTTCGATCCATACAAATTATCTTTTGCCAGAAATCCCATGGTTGTTTTGGGATCCGCGAACAATTTAACATGTCCTATTGACAAAACTGTTTGAAGATTACGAGAAGGTAACAGTCCTAGCTTGTAACTACCTTACATTTCATTTGCAATTAAAGTGTGGAGCAGATCTTAGGACCGCACAGTCAATACGAACCCTATCTACACTCGCGCTGTGAGGCGATCGCTGTTTGACCGCGGCCTAACTCAGAAAAAAATAATGCGATATTCGTGCATTATATCGATCCGCAGAAGGTTGAAGACAAGTTCTGGGATAAAATGGGTGTGTACGAGCGTTCTTAATGAATCTGGAGATGGGATGTGACCTGGGAAAAAAGAAAAAAGCAAAAGCTTCGGCTACGCTGTTCTCGGGTCTTAGAGTCAGTGCAGGTGGCCAGCTATAATGCTACACAATCAATTTACAAATAAAATTAATAAGCCACCCACACCATCATTAAAAGGCGACTCAACGTCTTTTTTTTACCTCGGCAGAGGAAACACAGTTTTCAGAACAGTTTTATGCGCACAGGAAATATCGCATAAAACCGTTTCTGAAGAAAGGAAACACAAAGTAAATAAGATTAAACTACTCAGAACCATATGTCAAGAGGTACTATTACTTACTCTCATTAAGCACTGAAGCAAAGCTTTACAGCCCTGATTGGAAGGAAAAAACAGACGGCGTTTAAAAGTTCAGTTCAAAGTGGCCTCTTACACCCAACTATGCCCTCCTTATTATTATATCAGAACGACGAAGTCGGTGGTAGGGTAAGCGCACGCTTACCACGTGCTCGGTCTGGGGATCGAATCCTGGCTCGTGCTTCGTCCAGGCCTACAATGCCTTCTACCCCTCCGGAGTCGGTTAATTGGTACCAACTTGTCTACACTGCATTGGCTGCCCCGCAAATTGAATGGATAGCTACATCGATTCAAACGCCACTGCGAAGTTACAAATGAAATAGATACCTGCCGCATCAAGACGGATTGAGCAGATGCTTTATACTTCAGCTTTTAATTATATCACAGGTTTCTTTCTCATTGTTTACAGGGGTTTCCTAAGAACAATGCCGCTTTTCTTGTTTAAGAGCTTAATATTCAATAGTAGAAGATCCGTTACGGAAAACATTGCAACAAAAGAGGCCAATACAACTGCAATTCCTCAGGCCCTGTGTAACAAATCGAATTAGGCAATTCATCCTTGCTTTTGACTGTCGAAATGTTAACACCGTTCGCGTAAAGCTTATTCACCATATCGCTTGCAAAATTCTTCATTGATCAGACTCTTGATGCAAGTGAAAAAAAATCGTTCAAACGCGATACAAAGGAGTACGGCCAACTGCGCGAAACTTATACAATAAAACAAGAAAAGTCAGCATGACCATATTTGCGGTAGGGGAGGCAGTCACCCGTGCACGCTACATGTTTGCGCTGTCTTAGTGAGAAGTGCAAGTTTCGCCATTTCAGCTTTTATGCTTTTTAAGGACTCGCCCTCTTCCTCACCCTCCCAAATTGCCTAAACTCTCGCTGGCTCAGGGTTCCCCATTGCGCTGAATGGCGAAACACTGCGACTTTCCCCTCTCTCTTCCCAACTACATCTGCACCGAAAAATCCACAGATAAACCAACAAAAAATAGAAAAAAATTCAAAAAAAATGGCCAAGAGAGAATCCTTCTTATAATATAAGCGCTAACTTTGTGTGTCGGTTTGTGTAACTTGTATTGTGTGTTGAGTGTGTGTTATGTGTGTCGTCCGCAAAATGAAGTGAGTGAAAGAAGCTCATGGGATAAACAAAACCGCTAACAAATCGGTAACTTACAGGATTTGAGATATCATGTTTGTAGCAGGATAGTTGTGATAACAACTTTCAGGGCTAATATAAACACCTGCTTTAGCAACTTCCGTTCATTCCACATGGTCTGCATGGCAGCTGGAGGGCAGTGAGAGAAGGAAGGGAGGATGAGGAAGGAAGCAAAAACTTCTTACCGTCATAATCATGATTGTGTCCCTCTTACTGTTAAAACACCATTGTGTTGCATACGCGTCGCTTTCCAGGAGGTTTGGTGTCACCCCGGCGGAGGAAGGGACCATAGTGGAGGATAGAAAGCGCGCATTAAAGGAAGGTCCCGGCGGTTGACGGGGGACTAATCTGGTAAAAGAAAATAGGGCACTATTCCTATTACGACCCCAAAACTTAAAATTTTATTCGAAAATAAGGTTCATTTTCGGCGCTGGCGCCATTTGGCGCCAATTTGGAGCTACTTTGTTTTCACCAAAGTCGCTGTAAACTTGCACACAGCGCAATCTGGGGTCCTGATCACGAATATAACATTCATTTTCCCCTCCAGCGCCTGTGCGCGCCTGTTTTCCGCTCGTCTGCGCCCTCTCACTGATCACCTCGCGATCGGGACTAAGCCTTTGAGGAAGAGAGTGCTCCAATGTGAATGACACTTATCCTGTGATCTTATACGCTTTAACATTTGCCACATGTTGACTGGTTCACCCACCCCGGAGTCCTCCCTCCTTCTAGGCTCAGTCCCAGGTGTACAAGTGAGAGGACCCAGGAGAATGGAAAATGTGCGTTGAACGGTGGAAATGCTAGAAGCGAATGACATGTCCGTAATCAGGACCCTAAATAACCCCTATGTGCAAGTTTACAGCAAATTTGGTGAAAACACCCTTGGCGCCAAAGGCGCCAGCGCCAAAAATGAACCTCATTTTCGTGATCAGGACCTCAAATAACCCTTATAGGCGAAGTTTCGACGAAAAATAAAATTTTGAGTTTTTGTGGTCGTAATAGTTAAATAGTGCCCAAAATTTTATTTTAGAAGAATTTCAAAAATTCACAGAAACTCCAAATTTTTCAAAAACTCTAAAGCTCGATCCAAAAGATTTCTTTGAAATTTTGTTTCGGTGTGTAACACCTTCGTCGAGCCTAAAATATTTTAATAGTAAACGAATTTAATAAATATTCAAACTAGATGAGCTTAATAAATATTCAAACTTTTTGACAATTATATTTCATTCCTGGCGGAGGTCTTACACTCTGAAATATCGCGGAATATTTCAAGAAAATTCTTTTTAAATTGTTGTTCAGAATTTTTGGAGAATTTGTGGAGTTCCTGTGAACTTTTGGGATTCTTCTGAATAAAATTCTTGTGCATCTTTGTGCTACACAACAGAAAAAATGATAAATAAGAAAGGTGCACTCAAATTTTCGAGATAGCAAGTGAACACAAATACGATCCCCAGTTACCCTGATGGTAATAATGCCTCACACTTTTTTCACTGAGTAAACTTTTCAGTTCAAATTCCGAAGGCACTATTGCACTATTACAACCCCAGAGGGGGTGAGATGGGTCAAAAAATTTTTTTCGCTGAAACTTCGCATATGGGGGTTATCGAGGGTCCTGATCACGAATATGACCTCCATTTTTGGCGCTGGCGCCAAATTGGCGCCATTTGGCGCCAATTGGCGCCAAGGTTTTCACCGAATCGCTGAAACTTCGCATATGGGGGTTATCGGGGCCTGATCACGAAGTATGCCTCATTTTTCGTGGCGGCGCAATTTGGCGCCATTTGGGCCAATTGGCGCAAGGTGGTTCTCACGCGAATTCGCTGAAGACTTCCATATGGGGGTATCGAGGGCTATCGGCGAATATGACCTCATTGTTGCCGCTGACCTCCTATTACCATTTGCACCAGGTGGGAAGGAGGATCGGAGCAATTCTTCCGCACTGCTCGGAGCCAGTCCAGGGTCGGGGAAGGTGATATGACCTAAGGCATTTCTCCACGCTTGGGAGAACAACAGCTGTGTGAATGCGATGTGACCACGAGGGATTTCCACGCTTGGAGACAACAGGTGTTGATGAAGGCGATGTAGACCAGGGAATTCCAGCTTGGAGCAACAGGTTATGTGAATCCCGGCGTGCGTTGCCCATAGGCTATTTCTCACTTTTGTGACCGAAGTGAAGCTACGGCTCTCAACGCTTTGAGGAACGTAATGCCAAGCGAGCTGAATGGACTGTCTTGAGGATGTCGTTCGACAATTGCAGAATGGATTCACCTGGTTCCAGGATTGGTGGGCGAAGTTGGGGTGATGTCTTCGAAGGACCC